ACATGGTTTTGTTTACGCGGCGCGATGCAACGCAACGCAACGCGTAAAAAGACAGTATAAGTCATTATAATCAGTAATTATGTCCCCACTGGATGCAACAAATGCCTCGTTTGTAATGGGTTTTAATGTTTATGTCTCGTCGCTCCGGCCTGACACGGCATCAACAGTATGTGAGGGGCGTAACATTTCCGTCTCCCGCTTGAGGTATTCGGCCAATCACAATGCACTGAATAGCTGGCCAATCACAGCACACGTCGCTTTTTCAGACCGATGAGCTTTGAAAAAATCGACGTGTTTCAAAAAGGCGGGGCATAGAGGAGAAACAATAATGTACAGTATGTGGAAAATAATGTGTTTTTTTTACTTTAAACCGCATAAACACATTACATTACACCAAATACACAAAATAATGTTCTTTTTAGCAGCATCATATGACCCCTTTAATCCCCGAGTTATATTCCCTAAAATTCAGTTTAGCAACATCAGATTCATTTACAACAAAACAGAAGACTACACAATGCCTTTATCCACACAAGCATGAAGTAAAGCATCTAAAACAGCACCTGCTAGTCAAAACCTAGACTAAACTAATCTAGGCAAAAGGAGACCACTTTGGAGCTAGCATTTTAAAAGTCATTAAATGAAACTTTTTGTGTGTGTGTGTGTGTGTTATTGTTGATGATTTGAAATATTATTCTAAAGGCAGAAAATAGTGATGAATAAAAACGTGTCGAAACGTTTCACTGGTCCCTCATAAGAGGAGCCTCTAAAGATGACGGGCGACCAAACCGTGCACTGATGGGCAAAAGTGAACAAAAACAGGCTCAAGACAAGGTTGGTTAAATTTACATTTAATCACTACAAATATGCCTAAACAGCTGTATGCATTGGAAACAACAGGTGCATATGAAACTATGATTATGTAAAAAAAGAAAAAAAATACTACTACTATATATATATATTTCTACTGTTTTCAGCAGCAACGCTGGTCTTCCGCTAATGCAAACGACACTAAATAAGGCACTAGAGCTTCCAGACCAGCATCTGTTCCCTTGTCTGCATCTCAACATCACATACTGTTATATGAGATTATGAGAAATGAATAGGGATGAACTTTATTGGGCACTTACAGAAAAATGAAATCTGTGAGGGTCATCCAGTTGAAACGAGCTTACATTCATATTCAGCCATAATGATACTAAAAAAAGTGTAGACATTCAGATGCTTTTATACTTCAGAGAACTAAACTGAAAACTGAAGACTGCGAAGTGAGCAACTTCATCATACTCCTCCAGGAATCTGATTTTTTGCATGTTTAAAACCACTTTCATCCAGTTCATAACAATAACCGTGAGTTTAAGTCTCAAAGTACCGCTACAGCATTAATCCAGCTCTGCACAGTGTTTGGTGGATACTAAAAATTACCGTATTTTGAAGTCTCATGCATATGTATTTGATTAGTAGGTTAAGATCACGATTCTACACAGGATTTCTGTCTCTAGCGTAACGTGAGATAATTCATTTTAGAACGAGGTCGTGTGTGCCAGTGTTTTCTTTCTGAAGGATGACAGACTCGTCTCTATGAAAGCACACATCAGGAATGTACAGAAGGGGAAGGGAGTGAGCTGGTTTAGCTCCAGACGTCCTGCGAGTAGCGTCCTTTAGATCCCCCGCCTGCGCGCGGCTCATGCCTCCCAGCTCCTCGGCGATCTCGTAGAAGGCGTTCTGGACGTCACGAGCCATATTACGCGCGTCTCTGCGGAGGAGAATGACGGGGAGCGTGAGAATGGTTAAGAGAGACGCTCGGTCTCGTGATGTTTTGAGATGATGTTTACGCACCCGCAGATGTAGATGTGAGCGTTGTCGGAGTGAACCAGCCTCCAGACGGCCTCCTTGTTCTTCTTCAGCAGATGCTGCACGTACACCTGGAGGAAGCACAAATCAAGTCAGTGATGAGGAGAACGGGTTGTGTTTAATCTAGGGCTGCTGATTTGACATGTTAATTTGGTGCGATTGATTATGGAAAAAGTAATTCGTTAACAATGCATTGAACGCAGCTGTCCAGACCTGTGCATCATCTATAAAAATGCAGTTATATCAGGGATTAAAGTTCCGTCGATACGACGGATTTCCGTCAGTTCATAAAGACAGTCACTTGCTTCATTCCTGAATGATTCAGCCGTTCGAACGAATCAATTGAATGAATGACTCAGTGATCAAATCAGTGACTTGCCGCCACCTGCTGGTGGATTTAGTTTCACTTTTAGCGTATAATTTCAGTTATTTAAATCATTTAATATTTCTGTATTCAAAATTTTATATTTAAAACATTAATTTGACATATATTTAATTGCACTCATGCCACCTAAACGTCTGGAAATGTACCTACAAGCCACTTTTGTGTTCTTCTGTGCCACCTCTGTAGTACAAATTAATTTATTAATACTAATTTCATATGATTGGTAACTTATTTGTCTTATTCTACTTCTTATTATATTGTTTTAAATGGAAATTTTAAAAAGCTTATAAACATACATTTTTGAATTTGACAGATGAAAATGATGCCATTATAAAGGTAAAAAGAAAATACTCCTGTAAGTCACTTTAAGGAGTCAAATGTCACCTCGGCTAATTTTTGATTAGAATTTTTGATTATTGATCAGAAGGTGCTCCTAATTTTTTTAATTAGCAGGACAAGCGCTCCTGACTGAAATTATACGATAAAAATGAAACAAAATCCGCCAGCAGGTGGCGGCAAGTCACTGATTTGATCACTGAGTCATTCATTCAATTGATTCGTTCGAACGGCTGAATCATTCAGGAATGAAGTCTTTATGAACTGACAGAAATCCATCGTAGCGACGGAACACTTTAATCCCTGAGTTATATTCCCTAAAATTCAAGATACGATTTATCTCTTATATTTATATAATTTGATATAGTTTAGCAATATCACACCAGCGTTGTTTTTCACACCAGTGCTTTTTTCCCCGAATATCTGCACGACTGCAAATGTCATATTGACTTGACAGTTCAGTAAAGATTTTTAGACACAAAGTTTTCAATATTGTCTGTTTTTGCTCAATTTCACACACGAAAATAGTTCCGATCAAAGTCACAGCAAAACTATTGTGCGTCTGTTTCATTACTGAATGAATCGAGTGAGTCAATGATTCAATGATTCATTCATACAGACAGTCAGTTGATTTGTTTGAAGGAATCAGTTGAATTAATAACTCAATGACTCACTCATTAAGACACTTGTCACCACCTACTGTTGGTTTTCGTTTCATTTTTATATTTCATTAAAAAAATAATTTTAATACAAATTTTTAACCCATTACTGCCCATTTAAAACTCATTA